ACAACAAATGATGGCCTTCTTCTGGATTCCATGGCCCGTGAAAGAATAAAGAGAAGGAAAAAATCAGTTCTCTTAACTATAGCAGGTTGTGGAAAACCAAGCTAACATCTGGAGCCTTGCATAACAATTGGAGCCAGATAATGTTGCTGAATCTCTGCGATGTCTTCCATTGCTTTCGTATCTTTCCTTTAACTGAATATCCAATATTGCAGAAACAAAAGCGTAAATTGCTGGAAAAATTCAGCAGGTCTGGCAGCATCTGTGGAGAGAAGGCAGAGTTAACATGATAGGTCTAGTGACCCTTCTTCAGAATGTTACTCTGCTTTCTGTCCACAGATGCTGCCGGACCAAATGAGTTTTTCCAGCATTTTCTGTTTTTGTTTCTGATTTCCAGCATCTGCATTATTTGTCCAAAACTGCAAGTAGGCTGTATTAAGTAATTTCAGTACTAAGTGATCAATTTATTTGGTCTATGGGTATATTTCTCACTGTTATTGAGGCTGTTATTGAATAAAAGCAAAATGTCCTGGACTAACATACTAACTAAAATGACTCCTATTTCATGCATTACCTCTTTGTTTTGTACTCAGAATACAAAACATAGGATTTCATTAGTTTTCATTTAGTTTTATGGGTTTATCTACAAGTGCTATTGCTTTGAATGGTGTACATTCTTGCACACCAAAATCACACTACTTTACCCCATTTAAAATCTCTAGTGTCTCTTGCTCGTTTGTGTTGCCCTTGCTGTCCCCTCCACTACATCCAAAACAGCTGTCTTTCTGGTCCCAATATATTTTGTACAGTATTTTTCACCAGCTTGTGTTCTTTGGTCTTCTAATACCAGGCTTTTGTGCATTATTACTACATCACTCTGTTGTACCTCAGACAGTGGAATTTCTGGTCCCCGTCGGGAGATAGTGGCTGCTGATCCCGTCTGCTTCCTGTCCAAGTTCCCACTCAAAAGTAGATTTGTGACCTGAAATTCCAACCGCATCCTCTCTAAGACAAAGCACTCCTACATGCACATCGTTCATCTGTGCCCCAACTTCGCTAAGATTCTTGTCCCTGCTTTATTAACTATAGAATCAACTATTCCTATGCTTTATGATTGCCTGCCATCTTCTGCTCTTTATTAATAAACTCAACAAAATTCTCCCGCCCACATCATAACCCTCCCTAACCTGTTCACCGACTTGTGCCCACTGATTTCTATTCATTCCCAGTCTCCCACTGACGTTTTTTTCCCAATCTTGTGTTCAGATTTATCCATGCCCCATAAATTAGGTTCCTCTAATTCCCGCCTCTTATGCATTCTGTACTACTCCTCATTCCCTACTCTGTCACTGGCAGCAGTGCCTTTGACCATTTGTGCCTGAAATTCTAAAGTTTGTTCCCTAACCCTAGTCTCTAAAACGGTCCTCAAAACTCTTAAATTGTCATTTTGATCACTTGTCCTAAAATAATTTCCTTCTGTTTTGTCTAAATTTTAGTCTTGAATATGTACTCGTGAAACACGGTAGCAGTTTTACTATGTTAATGCAACTTGTCATTGCCTCAACCCTACTCTCCCTAAGCTCATCCTTTTGTTCATTCCTCTGCTTGCCATCTATTTTTCCTCTGCAAAATACATTGGGACATTATAAATGGGATTTTTATAAATTATATCTAATTTTAGCAGCAACCTGGCTGTTATATATAAAGTTAATGTATGTAGTTTTTCATTTCAGGCCTTTGTTATACTTTATCCTTTATTGCTAAAGTTTTGAGGAGAAAAGCCAATGACGTATTGAACGTATGTAGGCCTTTCTTTGTGTATGTTTACCAGTATGTGTTCATATCATAACGTGTGTTGCAGTTGCACTCTCTTCTGAATAGCTGCAATACAACTTTCAATCACAAGATATCCAAAGTAAATGCTCTCTCTTGTGAATGGAGGAAGTGAGTACTGCAAAATGCAGCATTTAATCCTCATACGTGCCCAAGAAACTCTGCGTCTTGTGTGAATAAGGAAGACTCTAGCTACTGGTCATATAAGATTTCAATCCCGACTGCTCTCTTATTAAGCAAACTTTGATTTATAACCCAATGACCGGTAGGTGACCAGATGCCATGATAGTAGGAGCAGTCCCAGTTCTTCATTAAATATTCCAGGTCCTAACAATTTCCAAAAAGTAGCCTGTGTTCTGTTTTTCATCTTTCCCATCTTTGTCAAATATAAACTGGGTCAGAGGAGGAGGGTGAGGATGATGTGGGGATAGGTTAGAAGGTCTGAGAGATTTTGTCGTTCTGTGAACACCCATCTTTAATTGCACTCCATTCTCTGTATCCCTCCAGTGGTGCCAAAGGAGTTGTCCCTACCATTTTATAAAATGACAGCACCAATATTAATGACTCCTTTTAAGTGATCTATTGGGTAAGTTTGCCAACTCCCACTGGATATATTCCAGGAGGTTTCATCACATGACCTACCACCTTGAACAGTCTCGCCTCCGTGCTCCTGCCATTCATCAATTATCTTAATAATTTTGGAGCTCTGTCTCCCTGTGGCTTTTCAGGATGCCTAGGTTTTGACTTTCCTGAAAATGTAGTCACCCTAATACAGTTAATCTCTCAGTATAAACTCCTTTTAGAGGTTAAAAATGCATTGTATGTGAAACTAAGCCATATAAACTGGGAAGGTCTGTGTATGGATTCCCAGATTGTGTTGATAATACGGTCTCGGGAGCAGTAAGAAGTACAGTAGTTAACTTCAAAATTGTCCAGAGCTGCCCCTTTGTATGAAATGGGCCCTGATCAAAGTTGTATATATGTAAACACTGGTTTTGATACCCTGTGCAAAGATGCAAATTAGGAGCAGGAATAAGCCATTCAGTCCCTTGAGAGTGACTGCTGCCATTCAGTAAGATTGTGGCTGCTGTAAGTACTGCATGTTCCCACCTACTCTGATTAATGTACATATCTACCTCTGCCTTAAAAATATTCAAATACACCCCTTCCACCACCTTTTGAGCAGGGAATTGAAAGACAATCAATCTTCTGTGAGAGAAAAATCCTCCTTATCCATGTCTTAAATGCGTGACTATTCAATTTTAAACAATGACTCCTAGTTCTGGATTCTTCCACAAGAGGAACCATCCTGTCCCATTCCAGCCTGTCGAGAGCTCTCAGGATCATGTGTGTTTCACTCAACTTCTCTCTTACACTTCTAAACTCCACCAGATAGAGCCATCGCTTGTCAGCCTTTCCCCATAAGACAACTCACCCACTTTATTTATTAGCCAATCATCCTAGAAACTAATATAAATATTGTGGCTTCAGGGGGTAGGAATTTTGCTGCAGCATCTCTCCATCTGATTCCCCAGGAGTGTGCTGAAATGCTTTCTACTTACCTGGATAGCAGTGACTGCAACTGGCACCACATTTACTACCTCCAGAATTCACTGCGTTTATCACTGATGCACTATGGTGGCAGTGTTTATTGTCTACACAGTGAACTGCAGTAAATCACCAAGGCCCTTGCGATAACACTGTCCAAAACCACGACGAATAGCACTTAAAAGGGCAGCTCATGCATGGGAACACCAGCATCTGTAAGTTTTTCTCCAAGCCATATGCTATCCTGACTTGAAACTATATTGCTGTTCTTTCACTGTCCCTGGGTCAAAATCTTGGATCTTCTTCCCTCCCAGCATTACACCTCAAGAATGTGGCAGTTCAAGAAGGCAGCTCCCCATAACCTTCTCAAGGCCAACTATGGATGGGCAATAAATGCTGGCCTGGTCAGTAAAGCCCACGTCTCATGATTGATTTTATTTTTTAAAAAAACCTTTACGCTCACTGTAAAGAAATTCTTTCCTTGTGCTGCCTATATCGTTGGCACCTACATGGACCATGATGACTGGATCCTCCTGCTACTACTGTAAATTCTCCTCCAGCTTTGAGTAGGTGCCCCAAGCTATAGCCTTGGGCAGGTCATGACCCTCATGTTTTGCTGCTGGGAACAGGATAAATTCCCCCAAATTATACTGTCCCTTCCTATCACTACTTTCCTTTTTCCTCCCTCCACATGAATAGCTTCCTGTGTCAATGTCCAATGGTCACTTAGCTCATTAACCCTGCAAGCTCCCACTAACCCTGATAAGCTAAAAGAACCTCAGACCTGTTGGGCAATTGCAAAGCCAAATCTCCTACTCCTCACTGCTGGGTCCCCTTACCTGCCTCACTTGGAGTCACACCCTCCTTTTTCAAGTACCAGTAATATAGAGTTGCCATATTCCCAGAGGACCATAGGGCTGCTGTCCCATTAGAGAATGATGACTGGTGGTGATTTAACTTCATTATGCCTTGGGCGAGGGGTGAGGTCGAGAGGTGGGACCTTTATGGTGACGTCAGCCAGTACAGAAATTGAACCCGTGTTGTTGGTATCACTGCATTACAAACCAGCCATCTAGACAACTGGGCAATGTACGTGCTAAGCAGTTACTCACCAACCACTTGATTCAACTTTCCAGTGTTGTCAGTTTTTCTACAATGCAGTATTCTCCTAAAGCTGCAACTGACAGATACCTTCTGCTCGTTTGCCTGGAAGGAAAGGGATGGCCTCGAGCCTGGGCCTCCATTAATTCTCTTTCCCAGGTTTATCGGTTCCCTTCCATGTCCTACTCTGCCTTCTATCTCTGTTCTGTCTGCAAGGTAAGTGAAGGCCCCAAGCTGGGGCCTCAATGTATTGTCTTTCCCTCCTTTTAACGATTCCCTTCCCGGTTTGCCTCAGCTTCCTTCTGCCTGCAAAACCATGTGGTCGATTGACCTGCTATCGCTCACTGCCTCTGGTCTCACGTGAAAGATAACTATTTGCATGAGGTACTGGACATAGCTGGTGCATGTGGAAAACAAAAAGATGAGGTAAAGTTTTACTAAAAACATATGATGAAGGACTTTTGAGAAATATGGATTTTAGAGGAGAGTTTACAATACTGGAAATAATTGTGTCTGAATAGATATTCACATGGAGAAGTGGTAGCTGTGTCTGAACTGCGTGAATTTGAAGAACTGGACCTAAGTTCACTTGAGGTGGGATCATCCTGTTTAGCGAAATACGAAGATGAAATTTGGTACCCAGCTAAAATCCTAGGTAAGTATGATACATTTATATTTCCTGACCGATTTCATTTAGTATAATTTAACTGCTGGTGAAACAAAAAATAATATGCCTGTGTTATTACATGATTCAGCTAGAAAATACATGTATGTTTGCACAACCGCATATATATTACCCTTCTATGCAGCTTTGATTTTGAACTACTGCATTTCAAAAGTCATAATGAAAGTAATCCTGGAATGTTTAAATAAAAATCATCTTTTTATTATTTCCAACTGACTTTTATCCCTTTTGCCAACAGATCTTTATGCATTTTAAAAACAAAATAGTGTTTTTTTTAACTGTCCATGTGAGTAAGTCGCTGTTTCACTTGTATCTGTTTTTTTTTTCACTTGAGGCCTGTTCCTTTTTATGATTCCCACAACAATGGAAGAAAATGGCTGGTTAGTCCCTCCCCCACAAAAAATGCCGCCTTCACCTGTAAATTAACCCCATTTTTAGTTCACTAAACAGCTTTTCCTGAATTGTTCCAACTGCAAAATATATTAAAATATGGATTACTACTCAGCCCACTTTTTTAGTTCAAAGCTTCAACTTTATGGAATGGATATTATTTGAAATGGCCTGACAGAGGTTAGGGGAGAGGTGAAAGTGATGAGATAGAGATGGATCCACATCACCAAAGATGTAATGAAAAAAGGATTCAATGTGAGCTACTCATAATTTTTGAAAGTTTGGAGAAGTTCACATTTAAAACTTGTTTAATAATAGAAATGGTTTCTGTCTTTCAGATATTGACAATGGTTATTTTACAGTAAAATTTGATTCCTTGCTTCAAAAGGAAATTGTAGTGGAGGGAGATGGGATCATGCCACTAGCTCAGGCTGATGAGTCTTCCTCATCTTCCAGCTCTGAGGATGAAGGAGAGCTTGGTTATGCAAAAGGTAAGTGCTTTGAAATAGGTTTTAGTTTTCTTTAGAAAATCTAGTCTTTTATGGATTTTGCCATTTAGGATGTTGCGTGGAGCAGTGCCATGCAGCTACCAAACAGATTGCTGGTGTAAACTTGTACTTTGGTCAGAGAGAGGGAACCAGCAAGAATTTAAGGGCTGTGAAAGATTCAACCTGGCTGTGGGAAGGAAGGAATCATTGGAGTGAGCCTTGATGCTCGAGATCTGTTTAGGGTCTTTATAAGACTGTGGGAAAGGAACTTCAGTCACTGTATGTTGCAGTTCTTGAAACGGGAAGACTGAATCTGTTGGGACCTGACAGTGACAGAAATTCTATAAAGACTACAGTGCTGTGAAGTATAAATGTGACATGGATTTTGGGGGCAGTGCCACGTGTTTGATACCTTTGCTGGATACAAATTTAATGTTGGTGATTACAACTTAAGCAATTTTCTATTCTGTGTAATAGTCCCACACTTTACCTATATATGTCAATCAGTGTCTCTACAGATTTGACTCAAAGTTTTGCAAAATAAAATTTATCCTAAATATAACCATAATGGTGGATTTTAAGAATAATCCACAATGTTGTTTTCCAATATACTGATTTTAAAATTTGAATTGAAATTTCTTCAAAGCCTCCTCTTCCTTCCCTTGCCGCACTTCTGCATAATCCTTCAGCCTGACATCCTATTTTCTGTTGCTTCTCTTTCTCACCTGTCTATTGTGGCATTTTTTGCAGAATATCAGAATTGTCACAGGAGGCCTTTTGGTCCATTGTATCTGCACCAGCTGTCCAAAGAGCATCATAACTTGGTGAATTTTCACGTACCACGTTTCAGGATTCAAGAATTTATTTTTTAAAATAAGTTTGATCCTCCAACATTTACTCTAAACATACAACTTCAGCTATGCCTTCACTCAGTTTTGCTATTTTGTTGCAGGCTTCCTGTTTGATGCATGCACTTCTTCCTGCGAAATTACTTGTGGTAGTTTGCTATGCGTACAAATGCAAGTTATCTTGATCAAATCGTTTAAAGTTGTAATGAAACAGCTCCTTTTCCAATATCTGATTTCACAGTTTTGGATGAAAAATCCGTGTCAATGGAAAATTGGACTCCAACTTGCAGCTCTTCATTTGCTGGCTGGGAGGCTCATACTCGGGGAATAGGATCTAAATTAATGGTTAAACTGGGTTATGAATTTGGAAAAGGTAAGAATTTAAGAACTTAACTTACTCTATTGCTCTCAAATGTGATTGTCTGTTCAAGAAGTACCATGTGTTTGATACTTTTGCTGAGATACAAAATTGACATTGGTGATTACAACTTAAGCAATTTTCTATTCTGTGTAATAGTCCCAAATTTAACTTACTAGTTCCGTTATTTCAGTCTTTGCAAATGGGTATAGTCATGAGAACAAATGAGATGTTGTTAGTAAAGAAATCATTAATATTTTTATAAAGCAAATATGATTTATATTATTAAAAAGTTATCGCCTTAATTGGTAACATTTTTAAAATTAATTCTTTGACGGCATGTAGGTAAGCCAGCAAATATTGCTCACCCCTAATTACCCTTCAGAAGGTAGTGGTGATCCGCTTTTGAGCCATTGCAATCCATGTGATGTAGATGTTCACAGTGCAGTTAGGAAGAGAGTTACAGGATTTTGACACAGTGATAGTAAGGGAACAGTGGTTTAGTTCCAAGCCAGGCTAATGTGTGGCTGGGGGGAAAACCTGCAGCTGGTGTTTCCCCTGTATTTATTGCTGTTGTCCTTCTACGTGGTAGAGATTTCAGGTTTGGAAGCAGCTTTTGATGGAGCCTTGTTAAGTTGCTGCATTGCATCTTGTAGATAGTACTCATTGCTGCCCTGTATGATAGTGATAGAGAGTGCATGTTTGAACTAATTTGGAGGGGATGATTCCTTTTAGGGTTGGGGAAGAATGCTGATGGTCGAGTGGAGCCTGTACAAGCAGTGGTTTTACCACCAGGAAAATCCTTGGATCAATGTGCTGAAATCCTACAAAAAAAGCGGGAAGGAAAACTTAGCCATCTGCACAAAAAGAAGCACAAGAGGAAAAGCGAAGGAGGCCCACGCATTGCTAAAGAAAGAAAACCTCGTCAGACTGTATTTGACTTTTTGAATGATAAACTTCAAAGTACTGGACAGACTAGCAGTTCCCTGGTTCCAACTGGATTCCCCATGAGAGAGAAAAATAGCAAAGAACGTTATAAGGGGACTAAAAGCTCGAAGAAAGCTCTAAATATCCATCTTTTTCAAATAACAGAGAAGATTGAACATACGGAAAAGGACATTGCAAAAATTATGGAGGCGCTTGCAAGAAATGTTGGAAGGTATCTTATTGACTGCTTTGTTTACAGCTTGGGGCTTATTTTGGTTGGTAGGCCTGATTTGATTGTAGTTACTATATTGTATTGTATTGTTTATAATAGATGGTTACCATAAATCCTATTTAAAGTGACTGTGCAGCTCAGAAAATCCACACTTTCATTCCATTTCCATTGCGTAGTCATCTGCTCATTTGTGACCGAGGGAGTAATTTTCATACATACTACTTCAATAGTAACCCAACAAGAATGGTTCACCGTTGCAAGAACCAACATGATTTTTCTCCATTAAGCAGGCAAGCTAGTCCCTAAAAGGGGATAGTGAAAATTACCCCCTTGCCATAACTTTGTTCAGTCCTAGGCTTAACTTTTTTGAAACCCTCAATTCCATTGTTCACCCTGTTAACGTATCATTCCCATCTACATTGACCTCCATTAGCTTTCCATTCCTCTGTGTAATGATTCTCAAATCCTCCTATTTTCACTGCCATATTTCTGTCCCTCCTAGTTTTTTACACCTACTCACTGCCTGTCTCCTAAATTTGGATTTACTGTAGTTCTCCTACACCATCCTGAAGTTGATAGCAATCAACATCATGACCTTTCCATCTGCAGCTCCCTTTTGAAACTCATCCTTCTTGCTTTGTGACGTCAAAATCTGCTTCTTTTACATGCCATTGAGCCAGATACTTGGAATGTCTTTGGAACCCTCCCCACCGTAACCACCTCAATACTCCCTACCCACAAACCCAGCTTCTTGTTGGTGCACAATCCCACTATCTACGGGAAATCTCCGCTTTGCTACCAAAGAGAGCAAATAAATGGAAGTTACATCTTTTTAACATTGGTAATCTCTTAGTACACATCTAAAGCAGAATCATATCATTGGGATTTGCAGATGGTCTCATTGAAGGCTTTCTAAAATTACTGCAGATGATTTAAACCTATGTTAAAGCTTGTTTCATTGTGTAGAGTCCTTATTTGTCCATTTGGTGAACGAGTAAAGTTAAATTCTATGTTTCACTGAGCACGGATCAAGATTTAACTTCATTATTAAGGAATTTCTGAAGGGATCGTCTCCACAACATCACTTGGTAATCTGTTTCAATTTTCTTTATATTTTTTTTAAATCACAGAGACAAAGCAGTAACCTCCCATCTGGAAGAGAAGTTATCTAATGCAAAGAAGCAATTGTCCTCTCTAAAATCTCAAGAATCAGGGGCGCAGCAAGAACAAAGGAAAGCAGACACACACAAGAAGATGACCAAATTCTGATTTAGTTATTGATAGTTATTTGGTATATTTCAAAGGCTGGACAGTGTGTGCAGCATTTTTTTCTGTAAGATGTATCTGTTTTAATTAATGTAAAGTGGTTCTTGTGGTTTGTATTATTTTGTATTTGTCATTTTGAATAGTCTTAGCTAATTGCGAAACAATGATAGAATTGTTTGTGTTGTTAGATAAGGTTGCAGCACCACCTGATCACAATTGCTTTGGTATCTCTTTAAAAGCTGAATATTGTTTAAGTGGATATTGTAAATTGTATACCATTGACAATATAATATTGCTGCCTTCAATTCCTTTTCTCCTGTACTTAAAGCAACCATCTGTTGTACTTAAGCCAGATTTGAATTGTTCTGATATTATTTGGAAAATGACAGCTTCCAAACAAAACTTTCCTTTTTGAAGTAGGAGTATTTCTGCTGCCATGTGTCAATATCTTTGAAAATTCACTTGCAATGATGTGCCAGATACCATGTTAATCGAAAACATAATCTGAGGTGTTAGGCACTGCCTCATTCCCAATTGGACATGTAATATATTGTACTGGAAATTTATAGCTGTTTGATATTATAAAACAGATAATATTTAATTTCGACTTTGTTTGTTTGATAAAATGCTCAATAAGAACATGGAAGGATTATCCACAAACAATAGAGTGAGACTCAAAATTAAAACAGTCAGGGTGAGACACGAGGGATGTTGCAGAAGTAGAGTAAGACAAAGTCATGGTTAATTTTGAAAACAATGAGGTGTGTGGGATATGGAGTTATCAGATCAGCTATAATTTATTTGATGGCAGAACAGACTGAAAGGCCTGAGTGGTCTACTCCTTTTAATTTGCATGTTGAAACTATTTTTGAGGAACTAAAATGGAGGTGTGCATGTACAGGCAGTAGATGATTAGGATATGAGTGGACCATTGCATTTTTTTAATGTGAGGAGGAAATTGATGAGTACGTTTGAGAAATCTGGAGGCAGCAATGATATAAATGAATAAACACTTTTTAGTGCCTCAAGATGTTCCCACTGCACATGATTTGGTGTTTTAGAGATCGACAGACTTTAAGGACTAGATGGAAAATGAATTCAGGAACCTTTATGATATTTAGTCAACCATGGCAAATGTCAATGAAATTAAAAGCTATAAAATTGAAAAAAGACGCCTTTTAATTGGACACTACATTTCCATACTTTGTGTCATCTGTAAACTTTTAAATCATGACTTTTCCAAGTCATTAATTATTTTCCATTAGTTTTGCTTTCTGTCTGAACCAATTTCATATTCAAGATACCCATTACCTTTAATCGTAAGTACTTCAATTTTGCCAACCAGTCCCTTACATTGCATTTAGGAAATCCAACACCATGCCAGTGAACAAAAAGAAAAATAACTTCTCGTGCAAATCTGAACTAACAGCAGAAAATGTTTGACATGTATAGCAAGTCTATTAGCATCTATCCAATAAAATCCTTTAGTGAAGTTGCTAACCATTGCTTGTTTTAAACAGCAATGTGTCTTTTTTTTCTTTCCAAATGACGACAGACAACCTTTTCTGTGAACTCCTTACAGTGTCTACTTGCTTTGTATGAAGATGAAACTCATGCTGAGAGAATCTGCAAGAGCCAAATTTACCTGGGTAAGTGACTAACTTAATGGATAGAAACCCCTGAAGCCACTGCATCATCTACCCTCCCCACCCACACCACTAACAAAATAGTGAAGTTAAATGCTGTAGGATTAAGCTTTTAATTATTGTGGAACATGTAGATAAAATAAACTGGGGGCTAGAGATTAGGTTGGGAAAGAGTGGAGGTGTAGAGGGAGCATTGCTATGGTCTGAGCTGCGATCGGGTTTTATGTGATTAGCATAGATTACTCAACGTTTAAATGCTTACCATAATTTGCAGCCATCAACATTTGCAGAACAATCTTTTTAACTGATGTAGAGATTCATTTTCGGGCTGCCTGTGATCAAATGGAGGCAGAATGGAATCTGCCAGAGATCTTCAGCATCACAGTGGAAAAGGGAGCAGTAGAAATACTTCTCTTAAATCCAGAGTCAGGTAAGTATTCATTTAACAAGCTTCCCTATTTGGTGGTAGCTTCTAGCAATTCCTTTACCTTGCATGTATTCTATGTTTCCTGAACACAGCTGGGCTTGGTACCAGCTGCATTGAGGATAAAAGGAGCATCAACAGGCAGTAAGCCCATATCAGAGAAAATACTGACTCCTTTACACAGAAAACAGATATTTATCAACAAGTTTCTAGTTCAGTAATTTTGTTGAAAGCAAGACAAAAACATGATATGGGTTTACACAATGCATTTTACAACCTCATGTCACAAAGTGCTTTGCAGCCAATGACATACTTTTGAATTGTCATCACTGCTGTAATGTAAGAAACGTAGCAGCTGGCCACATTATTCAGTATTGGTCCTGGCACCAAAAACAATAAAGGCACATCCAGCCCAGTTAATCCTATAAAACACCCCCGCTCAGTCAAACCTACAATGTCCTCACTAAAATGTGCAAATTTCTGCCTGACCCAGTCAGTTTTACAGAATCATATCCTTCAGCAAACTTTCAACACTTCTTCGTCACCATTCCTAAGGATATCTTATCCTGCCAATAGGAGAAGCCCTCGAGCTGTGTTGACACTTGATAATCGGGAAGACTTAGCCTTGGAAATTCATAGCATTGTCCTCTGAATCTTTTAGTCTCATGGCATCAGATCAAGTACGGGCTAGGAAACCTGCTGGTTACTATCTACCACACTCTGTCAGCTAATGATAAATCAGTACTTCTCCCTGTTTAACTTTTTAAAAAATGAACTTACCCTTTTGATGGCTACAGCAAATTGTTCATTGAGTGAAGCAGGATCAATGCCATTTCCTATCGGATTCTAAAACAAGTACATTATCCTTTTATTAGTCTGTCTTACTGGATGACTGGAAATTGCCCACAGCCAACATGAGGTGTTTTTCAGACATCTTAGAAGCACAGGAACCAGCCTGTGAAATTGGTCATGTTCGTATCCATGCGATCCATGAGAAACACTACCATAATTTTATGCTCCTTTTTGTTGGAAGTACTTGCTTTGTTATTTCTATTGATGCATAAAGCTGAGAAGGCCATTATTTACATTTACATTTTTATTAATCTTGTTAGGATATTTATACTTCTGGCGAGGTACAGAAATTCAACTGATTAGTGGATTTTTGTTTGTTTTCTGCCTTGAAAGTAGGTGCCACAATAACTGCTTTTTACCCCTCAGACTGCTTTATGTAAGATAAAATGTATTGAAGGCATCGCGAGGAAACGTGGAAAAACACTACCCCTTGTCAATCTGGTGTTCATTTTTGGAGGTATTTGTTCTGGCTTCACTGATTGTATTGACACAATTATCTATAGCTCCCCAAGTTTACAGCTTACATTTGCACTGTTACTATAGTAATGCCTGGATTTTAATTACATTTGTGCTTTGATCAAAACTCTGCATCTTGCCAGAAGTACAATGACTAAAACCACCGGACACATACAAAGTGAGATTTGGCCAGCAGCAGATGGCTCATTGGGTTTATCGAGTTGTGACCAGTTGTGGATGACAAGGGCCATCTGCCTGCCAGCAACAATGTGGCTGGCTTCTAAGTAGTTGATCAGCTTATAGGTGTGAACAATATTGCCAGAAGCCTTTGGAAGTCTGGAAGGGGAGATGGTACGTCTCTCTGTGGTAGGAAATACCTGAAGTCTGAAGAAAGCCAGTTTGTCTTCCCTCATTATTGCTGCAAGCTTTTGGCTTTTAATCAGTAAGTCAATTTTGTCCCTCCTGTAAGGACGTGAAAAGAAACTGAAGAACAATTGAAGTTGAGCATGTCCTGGCAAGTAAAAGGATCATCCGTGGACTGGAGCCATTGAAGTAACATATTCTAACAAACAGTCATACAGCATGGATATAGACCCTTTGGTCCAACCAGTCCACACCAACCATAATCTCAGACTATAATAGTCCCATATCCCTCCAAACATTTCTTATTCGTTAACTTATCTAAAAGTCTTTTAAATGTTGTAACAGTACCCTCATCTATCACTTCCTCTGGAAGTTCATTCCACGCATGAACCACTCTATGTTTAAAAAAAAAGGCCCTCATGTCTTTTTTCAAAACCTTTCTCCTCTCACCTTAAAAATATGTCCCCTAGTCTTGCAATCTCCCATCTGAAGGAAAAGACACCTGCCATTCACCTTATCTATATCCCTCATTATTTTACAAACATCTACAAGATCAACTCTGAACCTCCTACGATCCAGTGGAAAAAGTCCCAGCCTACCCAGCCTCTCCCTATAACTCAAATCCTCCATTCACAGCATCATCCTGGTAAATCTCTTCTGAACCCTCTTCAGCTCGATAATATTCTTCCCTTAACATCATAATTTAGTTATTTGTATGAGCTTATCAGTAATTTATTTTCCTATTGGCTAATCCTTACAGGTTTTATCAATGATAAAATGACATGGCAATAAAAGCCTGACCTGCAATCGCACTGTATATTGTCATCACAAGATACTTTGTGGTTAAAATGACAAAGGGGATATAGTGATTAGTATAGCCACTGCTTTTACTTTCATTATTGACACAATGATATTCACAATACCTTCAACTGAAAGTTGATTTCAATTTACCACCTTTTTGTTTCATATTGACGGTATGAGCATAATCCTTTGAAGATAGTAGATGGGCATTTTTCAGTTCTACAGATAGTTCAGCACTTGTCAAAACGGTGCACTTCAGCAATGTAAGTAGAATACAGTTGAAAAAGCTCCATACATTCATGGCAATGATTTGTTTCAGTCAGTTTGGAAACTGAAACTGAATAAAAAATGCTTGAGTTTTGTGTCAAACATTCTACTTGTTGGTGAATTAAAGGCTTTCCCATTCATGCCATTTCTTTGTACAATCTGGCTTTTCACTTGAAGTTTGAGTTGTCAATAGCTCGTGCAAACAGCTTTGGCCTCATCACCAGATAGTTACAAATGGAGTCTAGAAACTACCTGTCACTCCAATTAGACTACAAGAGCTCTGGTGAGTTTCTACAATTCTGGCTAGAGTTCCTATGTGGAACTTCATGGATTACTGTACCAATCTTGGGAGGAGAAAGAACAATTGATATTGCCCCTGATACATTGCAAAAGCCATTACCTAGTAATGAGCATTTTCTGGTACTAATAATTGAGCAATCAACAATGTGAACAAATCAACCCATTTGGCTAATTTAGGTATGAAATACTATAAATGATAATACATAATTATTTGGAGCTTTCAGCTGGTAGACTGTGAATCAAATGATTTCCCCCCCCCCTTTTATTCATTCACAGGATGCAGGCAAGGCAGCATTTATTGCCCATCCCTAATTGCCCAGAGGGCAATTCAGGGGTCAACCACATTGCTGTGGGTCTGGAGTCACATGTAGGCCAGACCAGGTAAGGATGGCAGTTTCCTTCCCTAAAGGGCATTAGTGAATCAGATGGGTTTTTCCAACAATTGGCAATGGATTCATAGTCATCATTAGATTCTTAATTCCAGATATTTATTGAATTCAAATTCCACCATCTGCCGTGGCAGGATTTGAACCCAGGTCCCCAGAACATTATCTGGGTCTCTGGATTAACAGTCCAGTGATAACACCACTAGGCCATTGCCTCCCCCTAATTAATTGCTGGTAAACAAAATAATCTAGATCAGAATATATGTAACAATCTCACAAATAAATTATAATTCTTAGCAGAAGTATGATTTATGTTCTATGCCTAAATAACCTAGAGCATTTAATGGGACACTGATTATTTTAAGAATCATCTTTCTATGCTGGCCTTATTGTCATAGGTCTGAACAAAATAATCATTCCAATGAGAATCTCCACAAATGCTTCTGTCTTATCTTTCAAATTTAAGGAAATGAAGTTGATACAATGCAGACAAATCTCAGGTTAGCAGAAAGAAGATTTCTCGTACAACACAGCTATCTTTGTTGTTTATGCGAATCTCTCTGAACTTTGGCAGGTGCTGATACTTCAGTCCAATGTGCAACACGCTCTCAATTCCAAGCTTCTATCACTTTCTGAATCCCAACACAGCCAGCTTGCAGGATTTCATCAAACGGTCTTGTCTGTACACTTTGAACTACATTTAAGAAAGACCTGGCTTTTATATAGTACATTTCACAATCTCAGAAATTTCAAAGCACTTAACATTGCCCTGGACTTCTCATGTGATTCTGCAACATTTCCACTCATTGTTCAGGTGCTAATGGGATTAAACATTGACCAAACTACTATAGAGAACATTCCTGTAGCTCTTTGTACAGTGTAATGAGGCCTTTTCTATCCATCTGAAAGGGCAGTGAAGCATTGGATTAATGTTCCATCTGAGAGACAGTGCAATACTCCCTTTGTACAACACTGGAGTGTTGACCTAAATTTTGTGCTGAAGTACTAGA